GAGAGAGAGAGAGAGAGAGAGAGAGAGAGAGAGAGAGAGAGAGAGAGAGAGAGAGAGAGATTGTTTGATTGGTTGTGTGTCGTTTGTCGACATGGTGCATACACAGTTGTCATGTCTCAGCTTAGTCTGTGTAGTGTGTGTGTCGGCGAGTCGCTTTGTCTGCTACCTTCTTCACCCGAATACAACGTACGCTTCTTCTAACCGTATTTGGGGTATCTTTCAGTCTACATAAAGCTATAATGAGAGTCCGTTGTATTCAGGGGAAGAAGGTAGTGAAGTTGTTTGATGCATGAGTGCGAGTATGTTGAGACTGCTGGAGTTAACTGGTTTACTGCCATACAGTTCTTTGACTGCTTTCAGTTAACTGCGTTTACTGCCATGGAGTTAACTGCGGTTACTTCCATCAACTACCATGTAGTTAACTGGCGGTTACTGCCGTCAACTGCCATGGAGTTAACGGCGGTTACTGCCATCAAGTTCTTCGAAGTCACAATTTGAGTTTTGAATATGTTGAGATCGCTGTAGTTTACTGCAATTACTGTTCTCTGATCAGCGAGTTTAACTGCCGTAGCTATCTGCAGTTACCGCGGTGAAGTTCTTTGACAGGCGAGTGTGAGTCGGTTCCGACCCGTTGTTGTTCCTGGTGCTGCATCTGTTGACGAACTGTCAGCAATTTGGAAAAACTGCGGTTACAGTCACCGTGGTTATTGCTGGGGGAATTAGTAACTCTAGTTGCAGTTACTGTGGTGACTAAGTTTTTCCCTTCCCCCCCCCAACCCCCCACCTCCCCCTCCACCCCTGTTTCCCTTTTCCGCCACCTGTTTCACTTAGTGAGGTAACTGCTGGAGGTAATTGCAGTTACTGGCATGCAGTAGTGGCAGTAAATGGAATAACCGCAGTTATTGTAACAAGTACATAGTACATAGTAACATACTGTGTCATAGTAACAAGTACATAGTACATAGTAACATACTGTGTCATAGTAACAAGTACATAGTACATAGTAACATACTGTGTCATTCATACAGAGTATAGTTACGTAGTCATAGTAACAAGTACATAGTACATACTGTAGTACATAGTACATAGTACATACTGTAGTCCATAGTACATACTATAGTACATAGTACATGCTACATAGTACATACTATATAGTACATAGTACATACTGTAGTCCATAGTACATACTATAGTACATAGTACATGCTACATAGTACATACTATAGTACACTAAAGTACACATACTATGTACTCGTAGTATCTACATATTACATAGATTATGAGGGAAGATGCAACAGACACCTTTGACGAGTGGTCAACCAAGCATGTAAGCACACGTAAGCATGCAAACATACGCCGGACGACACACAAAGCACTATAGTACACATTCTATGTACTCTTAGTACATACTATGTACTCGTAGTATATACATATTACATATTACATAGTACGTAGTACATAGTATATACTATGTCATTCATACATAGTACTAGTTACATAGTCATAGTAACAAGTATATAGTACATAGTACATAGTACATAGTACATAGTACATACTATAGTACATAGTCATAGTAACAAGTACATAGTACATAGTACATAGTACATAGTACATACTATAGTACATAGTACACAGTACTATATACATAGTATAGTTACATAGTCATAGTAACAAGTACATAGTACATAGTACGTACTACTGTACATACTACAGTACATAGTACACAGTATTGTACATAGTACAGAGAGTACTATATACATAGTATAGTGCATAGTACTATATACATAGTATAGTGCATAGTACTATATACATAGTATCTTGTACATAGTATAGATACATAGTAGTATATACTATGTATATACTACTATATACATAGTATATACATAGTACA